CTTTCTTTTTCTTTTTTCCCAGGGCTGCCTTCATTTTGGAACTATTTTGCTGTTTTCTTTCTTTATGAAGATGGCAGGTAAAAACGTTCCCATACCCAGGAAAGGGATTTTGCTAGAGTCAAAGATCTCTGAGGGCCATTCGGCAACGGTGGAAGGAAATTTACACCAAAGGGAAGCCCGATGTCTACTGACATCTGTAACCTACATCCAAGGTCTCGTGTGGCTTCCTGTACCATTAGTCTGCTAAAGCACGAGCTGGGGAGAGGCGTGGTCAGGGATGGGAAGTAAAAGGAGGAGGAAGGTTGCTTCAGAGGAGAGGTTAGAGGTACAGATGGAGCTAGCAGGCTATTGGCAGACTCGAGTATTTCACACTAATTTGATTCCGGACTTAATTAGGAGGCAGGTGGCAAACATCTTCAGAATGCTCCTGAATTTATAGGTTAATTAGCATAAGCTTTTAAAGATGGGCCATTTACAGCAAGACCTCTCAAAAGAGAGACTCTCTGTTGCTGAAAACAAAATTGAAAGCCAGCTGATGATAAATAAAGCTACACTTTGAGTGCATGCTGCATGCCGGCTTCCAGGAAAATCTCTCCAGGAGAAAGAACTGCTAACTCTGACTCCTTAGACCGAAGACACGAGAATTACGGAACTTGGGTCCTAAGAGCCAGAGAAACTTGGAGTCAAGCAGTCCAGGCTTGGATTTACGTACACATTTTTAATGCTTGTCTTGGAAAACTGAGGCTCAAAGAAGTTGAGAGATTGGCCTGAGGTCCCACAGCTGGGAGTTCCAGAGCCAAGAGTAGATCCCTAATTCCCTGTCACGTGGAGCCCTTTGCACTAAAACACACGAAGGCTCTCTACCCAGCCTGTCAAGCCAATGTGATCGGTGGGGTTTATGGCTATTGCATTAGAAATTAGTGACATAGCTGAGCCCGGACCTTCTCGATCATTCCTCAGTGACCTCGCTCCTTCTCAAAACTTCCTCGGGTGTCTGGCGACATCTCAGGCGAAACCACCCAGACAAGAGGCTGTATAGCACCTGATACTTCGTGACAGTTCCTGGAGGACACTTGTATAAGTTCCCAGCTTTACTGGAGTGGGTTCGAAGAGTGGCCCAAAAAATCTCTGGAGCCTGTGAACGTTTGGGAAAAGGGTCTTTGCCGATATAATAATTAAGCTAAGGATCTTGAGACAAGATCATCCTGGATTATCTGGGTGAGCCCTAAATCCAATGACAAGTGTCCTTCTAACAGCAAAGCAGAGGGAGGGGCGATACAGAGAGAAGACACAGAGGGAAGGTCATGTGAAGATAAAGGCAGGGATCAGGGTCACAATGCCACAGGCCACCACAAGCTGGAAGGGGCAAGGAAGAGCTCCCCGCGAGAGCCTGGAGGGAGCATGGCCCTGCCGCACCTCAATTTTGGACTTCTAGCCTCTAGCACACTGTGAGAGAATAAGTTTCTGCGTTTTTAAGCCCTCGCTGTTGGAGATGTAGGAAACGAACACATTTACAATCTTTATGAATAAAATCAATCAGAAAAAAAAAAAAAACATTAACAACAAAAATAAGGATCACGGATGGACAAGCGAAGCGTAGTATATCCATATAACAGAATATCACTCAGAAAGGAAGGAAATTCTGGCACATGCTACAACATGGATGAATCTTGAGGACATTGTGCAAAATAACATAAGCCAGTCACACACACAAAACCCCAAATACCGTATGATTCCACCTGTACGACATGCCTAAAGTAGTCAAATTCATAGAGACAGAAAATAGGATGGTGGTGGTCAGGGCACGAGGGGGAGAGGGGAGTTGAGATTTAGTGTTACGTATAGGGTTTCAAGGTTACAAGATGCAAAGCATCACGGAGGTGAGTGGCCGTCATGGTTGCACAAAATTATGGATACATTTCATACCACTGAAATGTACACTTAAAAAGGATTAAGATGGTAAATTTCACGCTACGTGCGTTTTACCGCATTTTTAAAACTGAGGGGAAAGAATCCCAAAAGGCAAGGATCACAGCATTTACAAATTCACAGTCACCATGTTGCAACAATGGGGTCTGAGAACAAAGGCACAGGAGGAGGGCGGAGTGTTGAGACCCGTCCTGTTTTATACTGGTAACCAAGCCAAGCTGACTCAGAGGCGGTCCCATGTCAGGGTGCTACACATGCATTACATTTTTCTAGATCACACCCATCAGAGGTCAGTACGCCCACTGGGTGGGTCTTGATTCTGCTATGAAGCCAGTGCAAATGACTCCCAGAAGTCCCAAATCTGAAGGCACCGTGTGGAAAGCCTCCACGACTTGCACCTTCCAGAAGGCTCTCGCCGAAACCCGAGGCCAATCTGGCGAGAGGCTCCAGCAGCCACAGCCAACACCCACTCCGGGGAGGAACTTGACTAAGCAGATGTTTCTTCAAAATGGCATGTTCCTGGATCGAGTTTATTTTACATATCCCTTCTCACAGCTGTTGAACTAAACTGGAGGTCATCGACAGCACCCCCGCCCTGCCTTCTGCCTGCTCAACTCTTTTTGGGGAACACAGTTGCATATGTGGACCGAGACAGCGGTTTCGATCCGCGCCTTCCGTAAACGTGGCTCAAATCTGGGGGCTATGCTCGGGATCCTCCCACCGCTTTTCCTACAGCTGAACATCCGCGAGATGGTTCTGATGTTTTATTATCACTCTTTCGAAATGCAATTTCCCAATTGCTCCCAACTCAACAGGTTTATTTCAGCCCTGCACAGATCACACTTGGGAACCCCTATGGAAATGCCGTGGGCCTCTCCCCCTGGGCTCCGGGGAGGGACAAGGGACATGTTCAGGGGACAGGTGGGGAGCACACGCCCGCTGCACTTTGACTCTTGTGATCTGACCACCTGGACTTCATGCTGCACTTTGGATAAGCCACGACCAACTTCCCCAATAGCTTTCCTGCGACGTACTTCACGGAGGGCCAAAAACTCAGCACCGACCACACTTGGGCTGACAATGAAAATTATTGTTGGAAAGGCCACGGAAACTCCTCTTGAGCCCCCAACTACGTGGGAGAGTGGGCCCTCCTCTCAGGTCTCCCTGCCGCCAGTGCTCCCATTGCTTTGCGCCCTGAGTCCTACAGTCGTCTCCAAACTGGCCTCCCTGACTGCGGCATTTAGGACAGGTACGATGCTGTGCATTTGCCGCCTCTGACTTGTTCCAGAACACTTCATACCTCCAGTTGGGTACCAACAAGCTACTCTTATCCCCCCCTCCCCCAACCCCAGGCAATCATTAATCTGCTTTCTGTCTCTATGGATTTACCTGTTCTGGGTATTTCACGTACATGCAAGCAAACCACGGGTAGCCTTTTGTGTCTGGCTTCCCTCACTTAGCATGACGTTTTCAAGGTTCATCCATGCTGTAGCAGGTATCATAACCCCTTCCGTTTTAAGGCTGAGTATTATTCCTTGTCTGTATATACTACGTGTTGTTGGTCCGTTCATCCGTGCGTGGACACTGGGTCGTTTCCACCCGCTGGCTGTTGTGAACAGAGCTGCTATGGGAGTGGTTTTACGTGCATCTGAGGACTCCCGCGCATTCTTTATACAGCAATGTAATCCAGTCGCTTTCAGCTCCAGCCATCAGGGCTTCAATGGCTTCCCAGCATTCTTAGGATAAGGCCCAAATTCCTGAATAGGACTCTGGAGGTCCTCTTGCTCTGACCCCTCCCCACTCCTCTAGCATCTTCTCTCACACCTGCGCTCCTGCCCATCTGGCTTTTTGTTTCACGCTCTGCTGTGCCTGTCCTCGCCTCTGGGCCTCTAGGGAGGCTGTTCCCTCTTCCTGGAACACCCTTCCCCTGGGTAAGAGGCAAGTGCACGTAACAGTCACTTCCTTATCACCCGAATCCAATTAGCTACCCTGGGCCCTGGTGCAGAGCCAACGCCGGCCCCTCCGTGTTTCCTGGAAAGAAAGGCACCCCAGAGCTTGCTGTGGGATTAGGAAAACTAAGCTAGACCTTGCTGTGCAATCCCACGGAGGCTGCCCAGAGACACTTGGGGGCCTCTCAGATTTAGGTCTCGGAAACGCCCCGCTGGGGGGTTTGAATGTGGTCATGTGGACTCGGTGGCCTGTGTCTGTCAAAGCTGCAGGACCAGTTGGTGGCCTTCCCAAGCTGCTAGGCGTCCTGACTTACCTCTGCCCAGGACACATTCTCCACCCTGAAATGTGTGATGGGTATGAGGCAATCTTTTCTTTCGTATCAGAGCGGGTTAACACCCCAGAGGCCTGTACGAAGCCGGGGTGGTGGGGGGGGGGGCAGTGGCTCCCTCTGCCTCTGAACTCCGGCCCCTAATTCCACAGCACGGGCTCCGCTCAGCCCAGAGGCGGCAGCTGGTGGGGCCGCTGCGGAGAAAGGAGGAAGCAGGCTCTGTGGCACAAGGCAGTCACACCTGAACCCGCCAGGCTCTGGTTCGGCCCGAGCCGCAGGGGGTTCTGGGTCACGCAGGATGTGGTTTTCTTAAGGGTGGGGAGGTGTAGGCCTTCACTTTCCACCCGCCCTTTCTTTTCCTCACTTCGATTCTGAGCCCTTGCCCCCCGAGTCCGTGCACTCTCACGTGCACACGTGCACCCCCCCCCCACAAGCCCACACACGTGCGCTCCCACACAGGCGGCTCGAACGCGCTCTTTGTTTCCCATTTTCTGACTCCTAAAAACAGTCTAATATACCTCTTCCTTCTACACAGTTCCTAACAGTCCCCTTATCTCTTTTGATCAATTGTCCCTCACTCCAATTTCCACATGAACAGTTAGCAGCAACCGCCTGTAAAGACAATACACGTTAAATCGCGAAGAGATCAGCCAGCTCCCAGTACTTTCTTTCCTCCGCGGGTAAAGATGAAAGAAAAAAACAAAACAAAACGGTGGAAGAGCCTCTTTTGTGGTTCTGCCGACCTCTGAGGAAGACGATGGTAGCTTCGAAGGCATCCCGTGTCGTCACTTACCTCCAGGACTTTCCCTGTGATAAACTGGTGACAGGCTTCACATTTCACCCCAAAGAGCCCCTGGTAGTCCTTTTCACAGTAGGGCGCGCCGTCCCTGCAACACAAGAGTTTTCAGGTCCTGAGAGGGCCGAGGGGCCTGGAAGACGCCAGACCCACACTTCCCGGGGGCCCTTTTCCACAGAAGGTGGTAGGGCGTGATGCTCTCGCACCCAGCATTCACAGGCCGGGAGATCTGGGCAGGCGCGATCAAAGTGCACGAAGCCACACGACGTGGAGGGACGGCTGTGGTTCTCCGGGCTCCACAGAAAGAACAGCCATATCGTCACATGATTACCACGGCTGCTTCCCTGTTGTCTCCGACCCAACGAGCAAAACACGGGCGCCATTCTCTTTCACCACCAGGCCAGATGGGCTTCAGACGTGGTGTCAGCGTGCACCCTCCCCCCACCACCTCCTGGAGCTCACAGGCCAGAGCCTGGGATGCCAAGTCCTCAGCCCTCAGGAGGCCCCAGGGGCACAGGGTCTTCTCACTCAGCCTCTCCAACCCTCCTTATTTATTTACCTCTGAGCACAGAAAAAATACTGTTTTCTATGCATGCCCTTGAGTACAAAAGTTCAGAAGCACCACGGTAGACATCCCAATGGCCTACCCCCGCACAGCCTTCTGCGTTCGCTTAATAGCTGGGCATCTTTCTCTTTCTTCTTACCCTGGCTGTGTGTCAGAATCACCTGTGAAGCTTTTTCCTTCTGATACAGGCGTTTCAGCTTCACCCAGGACTACAGAATTAGATTTCTAGGCGGTGGGGCCCCCGCTACTTCTTTGTTTGTTTTTTGTTTCACTGTATTCTTACATTTTTTTTTTTTGAAGAGCGGATATATATTTACCTGGTTGGAGAATATTTTTTAAGCATAGAAAGGTTTAGTGACGAAAATAAATTTTCCCTCATTGCCTTTGGACGCCCCCCCCCCCCCATTCTTCCCTCCTTCAATCAAAAGGGAGCCACTGTAGGGGCACCTGGGTGGCTCCTGTCAGTTGAGCGTCCCACTCTTGGTTTCGGCTCAGGTCGCGATCTCGTGGTTTGTGGGATCGAGCCCCGTGTCGAGCTCCACGCTGACGGTGTGGAGCCTGCTTGGGATTCCTTCTCTCCCTCTGCCCCTCCCCCGCTGTCTCTCTCAAAATAAATTTTACAACCTTAAAAAAGAAAGGTAACCGCTGTAGCTAGTTTCTCCAGGCTACGTTATAAAAACAAAACAAAATAAAACTTAAATTTAGCTGTTACAACAGCACCTGACTCTAACACGAACCCGTTCCCTGGTGGGTTGGATTATGCATTGGTCCCAATGGGCTCAGTGCTCAGACCCTGTGTGTGTGTTTTTTTAGGGCAGGGCGGGGTGGGGGGAGGTGTCAAACACATTCAAGACCTAGAGGAGGAGCAAGGTCTACTAGTTCCAAATAGGAAAAGAAAAAAGGTTAGGGAAAGTAAAATTACTAAAGAATTGATTATAACATACAGTGTAACGTTATGTCAGTCTTGTTCGTTAAATTAGGCAGTGACTGACATCTCATTAAATTCATTGTAGGCAAACTATAGGGACAGCGGAAGAATAAAATTCCTTTTATAAAAACAAAAACGTAGCACAGTGAAAGTTCATATTGATTATGGGGTGTGAATGCCTTTATGTCCAGTGGGGTGGGGTGGGGGTTCCCCTCCCCAGAGCAGGCCCCACTGGAAGGATCCCGCGGCCTGTGCCCCGATCTTACTTGCTGATGTACTCCCCGGTGAGAACCTTCCCACAGGACTTGCACTTAAAGCACCCCAAGTGCCACTGCTTCTCCAGGGCCAGCAGCGCCTGCCCGTTCTTGATGTCCCTTCCGCAGCCAGCACAATCTGCAAAAGAGCAGAAGCCAGCAGTGACTCCCACGTTTGTTCTGCTAAGTCCACGCACGCGGGCCAGCCCTGAAGCCTGGCCCGCGCCCGGCCCACACTCAACAGATATTTACCGAGGCACCACGTCCTTCCCCTCTTTCCTGCACCAAGTCCTTGCCATCCTCACATAGCACGGAACCTTCACGAACCTCAGTGGATCCACGGGGAGGGATGTCCTTCATCCGTTTATTTCCTTGGGGATTATTTAAATACCCTCTGAGCTCCAGCTGGCCCAGAGGATATTTAATTACGTTGTCTTGGCTGTGATTTTTCAGGAAGCTCTCAGAGGCCTTTATTAATTGAGGGCACATGTGAGAAGCTAAAGATCTCAGGCAGGATGCCTCACTTCACAATATATATGTGATTCCTGGAAAGGAGCCCATGAATCTCATTCTTGTAAATGGGCCTCTCGACTTCCTTATCATCCTAAACCAGACTTTGGAAGATTTGCGATCATCAGTTTAACAGCTCTTAATGCCCTAGCTTTAAATTCTCCATGGCAGGCTCCTGTGAAGCAGAGGAAGGAGAAAGTGTTTCTTTGTGGGAAAGGGCGTGGGCTCTGGAAGGAGCAAGGTCTGGTTCTGAACCCAGCTCAGCAACTTGCTGGCCAGCCACGTGACCGGGCCGGTTCTCCCCCTCTCTAAGCCTTGGTTTCCTCGGATGGAAGCTGGGATGCCACTAACACGTGTCTCAAGCCTCCAATGAGGATTCGATGAAATAATGGAGTTAACGCAGCGGCTGGCACGTGGGAAGTGGCCCTATAAACGTTTCCCAGTGTTGTAATTGCCATTATTCTGATTATTAAATACTTCATTGTTAGAGAAGTTGAGCATTGAAAAGAACCCAGGAGAATGTCAACTAATGCAACCTTTTTGAAAAGCAACATAAACGTCCACAGACATTTGAAGTCAATGTATCTGAGCAAATGAAATGGCGCATTGCTGGGAGACTGGCCAGCACGTCCCCAGCTGACTGTAGGAAACACCCATGGAATGAAGCGATGCCCAGACAAGGCCACTCGGGCACACAAAACGATGAAACACCCCCCTCTTCCGACCACACGTGTGACTGCTGCTCCTTTGCTGGTGACACTCCTGACCCTACTTTAACTCTCCCTCCTCCCAGAAAAACTTACAGAGATGCCCACTGACCTGCCTCGGCATCTTGCCGGTACACGGCCCAGAACTGCTCCCGCGGCCCTGACTCCTCCACTCAGCAAGAGCTCACACCCTATGACAGTCCTCCGGGGATGGCTCGCCATTCCCCTGTGTTCTCCCTTGGAGCAGTTTCAGTTAACTGGGCTTCTCCTCCTCCTGGTCCTCGTCCTCCTCCTCCTCCTCTCCTCTCCTCCTTTATCTTTGTGACTACAGGCGTGTTTCTGGTGATCCTGGCCAGTGGGTATTAACACGCCTTTGGATCCGGCAAGTTCAAGTCTAATACTTCAGTCTACAAATACGCTTGCAAATGAGCGTGCGTGTGTGTCTGGCGTGTGTGTTTTCCCTGAAGAGAATAAACGTATTCCCTGCGGCACTTTTATAACAACAAAACCGAAAATAGCCTATATGGACGTTAATGACGAACTGGTGAAATTAATTATAGTACAGTCCGTAATGGAATACTATATCCTATTGAAAAGAATGAGGTTGATTTGTGTCTGACATGGAAACATGTCCAAAACAGATGATGTTGAAAAAGGCAACCTGTGGAACAGTATGCGTAACAGAAGCTCCTTTATAAAAAATTAGCAAACTGTATGTGTTTGTACACATGCCTGTATATGAAATAAAACATTTCTTGGAAAAAAAAAAAAGAAATTCCCAAGATAGTTCCTTCTGTGGAGAAGGACTTTTTTACTTCACATCCTCTGTGTTGTTTGAATTATTATTTCTTTGTTACCCTGAGAATGTAAAAAAGAAAAAAAAAGTTAAGCAAATATTTATAAAGTTAAAAGCATAATTGCTATACAAGTTCTAAATATTGCAGATTAGAATTTCTGTAAGTATAGCCCTTTATTAGCTGAGTGTGTATTATATGATCACAAAGCATTATTATTATTATTTTTTAAAGCAGGAGTTGTTCATAGGTTTCCCGGAAACTCCTGGTAGTTTACTGCAAGGATAAAAATGGAAGGCCATGATATTTGTCCATAAATACAATTTTTAAAGGTTAGGAGCACAGGATGAGTTTAAGATGAATTGACAGTTTTTAATCCAAGTTGAACTGAATTTTTCATTCCTCTGATTAGATACGTCCACTAGGTGGCAGTAAAGATTTAAAGTAACAAGGAAGCTGCTGGTTGGTAGATTTTTTTTTAAGTCAGAAAATAAATTTTAGAGATGGCTTTCAATTCTACAAACTGAAGACAGTTGGGCTCGGGGGGGGGGGAGTTGGTGGAGCCATATGGGGTCTCCTCTTGCGCAGCGCTGAGATCTTGGGAGATGGGAGGCCTGGAATGGTAAGAGTCCAGGCTTTGGAGTTGGCATCGACGTTAACTCGACGTTAACTTGGGAAAGTGACAGTCTCTGAACACTCCCTTCTTCATCTGTGAAATGCTGGCCCTCTTCCTAGGTTGCAATGAGGACAAAGACCCTGCACTGGGATGTGCTTTGCACGACACTTGGAACCCTCGGTTCATGTTAGCTTCTCAACGTGGCTCCACCTTTCCTTGGTAGGAGCAGAGCTGGGACTAGAAACCACGTTTCTGGGTTCTAAGTCTTGTTCTCTGTGCAAACGCATTAATGCCTAGATGTCTCGGAGCTCTGAAAGCAGATGAGACACAATTCAAGAGCAACAGCGACATCTCTAATCATTCTGCATGGAGGGCTTTGGATGAACCAGGCACCATGCGAGGGCTACGGAGACCTGGTACCATTTATTATTCAATCAATTTAGTCCAAGTACCTTGCAGTCTGGAAGCCTCTGACCTCACAGGTGGTGTCTCATACCTCTCAGATCCTCTGTGCCCTGCAGTGTCCCATGGAAGGCAGATGTTCTGGAACTGATTTTGATAATGGTCTGTAGAAAAGCATTCACCGAATGCCGAATGCCTAGAGCCAGGCAGCTGGTAAAGCTGGGCTGGAAACAGAGGCTGGGGATGAGCCTCCTTCATCCCAAACCTTAAGTCATAAATCAAGCAAATCAAAGACCACCTTCTAGAAAGTAGAATACTGGTTCATATCATCTGGTTCAAAGGATTCTGGTACATGTCACAGAGGCTACCCATTCATTCCTCTCTGGGCAAAACCGTAAATTCTCCACTTAAGCCTGATGTCACACATGGCCTGATGGGCAAAGTGGGAAAGATGCAGGGACAAAATGATTCGTGCTGGATTGTCCCCTCCTCCCATGCTCATCCCAACTAAGCTCTTTTATAAAGAACAAAATGTCCTACTCTGTATCTTCATGTTTTTCAGCTGTTGAGAAAATTGTTTCCACATCACTGAAGCAGCTGCCGATAAATATAGAAAGCTGGTGATTGGTGCTGGAATTATTGCCAAAGTCAGAAATAGGTGAATGTGAAGCAGCATCAAGGAATTCAAATCCTCCAGCAACTCGCCAATATCCCAGCAAAAACAACTAATGACCAAACGTGGCAATAGGAAAAAAAAAAAAAAAACAACTGTAAATATTCTGCCCCAAGCCTTTCGTTCTTGGCAACAAGAGCCAAGAGAAGAGCAAGAATTTGGCTACTTATGTCCATGTTAAACGAACACCCAACTACACACCGGGTTCCATATTTGTATCATTTTGTTCAAAGGCAATAAATATCCTTGAGAACAGGGGTCCTGTCTCTCTCTCTCTCTCTCTGTCTCTCTTTTATTTATTTATTATTTTGGCATAGGGTCATGGACACCTGGGCTTCAAAAGTTTTGAAGTCGGAGAAGGTGACAAATGGCTCTCAGAAAATAAACTTGCGTTCCCAAGCTGAAAAAGATGTCATCACTTGGGCAGCACTTAAGGTCCTATCAGATTGGGTACCTCTGATCTCCTTGAGAACTACTTCTGTCTTCTCAGAATTGCTCACTTGGGAAAAGTAAGGGCCCCAAAGACGTCTTACTCTGTGAAGATGCCTCTCTGGAGATGACGGTTGAGGACACGGAGGTCTAGGAAAGAAAACCACGTGGTAACGAAATCCCCACCCCCACCTTCCTAGGCCTGCCGGCTTCAGTCATGCCCAGAACCATTGACGAAGCTGGACATTGCCATTCATAGTAGCTACGCAGCTGGGATCAAAACTTTTAGAAGACAGAATGGGAATTTTCCTAGTGTCTTGGCATTTGGGGCCACGGTCTCAGAGCTGAAGACGATGGTGATAAATATTCCATCTCCCAAGGAAGGGTGCCCGGATCCCTACAGGACTTTCCAAAAGACAGTAGGATCTATCTGATGACTACTAACCCCTATTACCCACCTACCTCTGAAATCAGAGATTTGGAAAGGCACAGAGGAGTCAGCGGGGAGCTGTCCACACAGCAGGAGTGTGGTGGTGTTCTCTCCCCTCTGCTGTGACAGGGATTTAGAGGCCCCGGGGAGAAGGACCTAGATGTTTACTGAGTGGGAAAGCTCAGGCTCTAGTGCTGCTGTGGGTCTGAGAGAAGCTTGATGTTAGAGTTCTTAGAACAAACCGATTGGGGTGTCCCGGAGCCTGGAAGCATTCATAAACAAAAAACCTAGAGCCTGATGAATTTGGAAGATTTGGAAGATTTGGAAAGCAGGAAGCTGGTTGGAGCCCCCCCCCCCCCCCCCCCCCCCCCCCCCCGAATAGCAGGCTAAGGAGAGGCTGGAGTGGGAACGGCATACACTTCCACCATTTGGCTCCCTGGGGATGCACTCGTGTCCTGTGGCTGGTGCCTACTCCCAAGCATCTGGAATGAACCCACAGGAGAAAACTGTCTGCGGAGGGTGTGGGACTTCATTAGTAAGAGGCTAGGAGACCACTAGGCAGCAGGACCTGAGTTCAT